TTTGGTGTATTTTGTGGCGGCAGCAGCGCCACTTACAGGCCTGACATATGTACTACATCGTTTCCAGCATTTCCAGCGGTCTAGTGTGAACGGACACGTTAATGAATCGAATGCGTGTGAACAGAAGACTTTTTTGCGCTTGCGTATGCGTTTTACCGTATGCGTCCTCGTGGGGCCGGGGTCTAAGCCAAACTATATCCGGTCACAGAGATCTGCTATTTTAAAGTAAAGTCAACACATATTGACCCTAAATATAGTCTATATTAAGAACGAGAAAAGTCTTAACATATATCGTTTTTTGTAAACATATGACAAATGTGTGAGGGTGATGACGTCAGAGCATCGTCCTATGTGTCAGGGCTGAAGTTCATGTGGAGAGGAGGCTTCAGTAGTCTGTCTGCAGTCTGTTTAGTTGTGCTATCTTACAATCAATATAGTTAATGTGAGGTAAAGTGTGTCGCCAATGTAACCGGTTAGAACTCAAAGTTGCGATGAGGTCTTAAAATGTATGGAAAGGGTCTTAAAAAAGGTCTTAAAAGGTATTAAATTTGACCTCAGGATTTCTGCATATACCCTGTTGCACCATGTGCAGTCCGTTACAGGGAGTCTTACCTCTGTGTCGCTGGCTACTGTCTGCTGCTGTAAGGTGAGGCTGAGCTGGCCCCCCTGCCCCGGCTCCTGCTGGCACACCACCTGCAGGGGACAGGACGCGTTACATTCACAGCCACACAGCTACAGAAAGGCTCATTTGACTGTAACAGGAGCTGTTTCTCTATCTTACCTCTGTGATGGGGAAGGCCTGCTGCTGGGTGTCCTCACTGAGGCTGACCACAAACAGCACCTCCGAAGTGAGGAGCAGACAGCCAGCATGCTCCTGACCCGAGCCGCTCACCAGGGTCACCTCCAGGGCCATGTGGAGCTCCGGCCGCCCCAGAGACTGGAGCATCTTCCTGTGGGCAGACAACACAAGTTATAAGACTATCTGGAACATTAAAGTGGTTCAATCTTAAAAAACAAGTTGTATTCTTATCAAAGCACTATAGGCAGTAACTACATACTTCCGGGTGCATAGATTGTATGTGTACATATACACACACACATAATTGCAGTCTTGCTGACTTCAGATAAAAACTTTTCCTATAAACACAAGACCACACAATGTGCCCAACTCTTCAGCCCCAACACACACAAACAACTGAGAATATGTCTATATACATCCTGCAATTTAAATTTCTTCATGTTCTCCGGGTGGCTCCTATTACACACATGCTGGATGGGGAAATATGTGCTGGGGCTACAGTCTTCCGTCATGTTTCTCTGACAGTGTGTTTACTTTGGAAGGCAGGTGTTCAGATTGCAGAGCAGATGTTGAGGCGGCCGCAGGAGGGACACTTTAGTTCTGTTCAGTGTTACTTCGTTCAAACAGTTTGACTCTTCAAGTGTCGGGCTACCTGTAGTAGTAAAAATAATTGATGGATGCCTGATGGAAACCAGTTTGACTGCAATGCAGCATGAACAAAACCACAGGGGAGCATTATCTCAGCACCTGTGTGTTTTCATCTTTTTTTCATCTTCCTTTTAGCACACTGCCAACCCCTCGAGTGATGACAACTAAAGTGGAATGTCCTAGAGAAATATTGTTTATCTAAAATGTGGCTTCTTTTCTTATGGCAGTTTATAGTGGACACAGACTACTATTAGAAGTAAAGGTTTGATAGCTATGGAAACCAAATAAAATTGCGGAAAATGTGAAGTGCTTTCAAAGGCTCCTGATAACCTTCTGGAGACACAGGCCTCTCATACATTTTTATGATAATATTCAGTGCTCCACTGTGCTTGATACACTCAGATCTGATGCAGCACTGTCCAAACCACTGCCATATGTTTAACACAAGACCCAAACCTCCTGCTTGGCACAACATGCAATCTGTGTCAACTCAATCTCTCCTAAATTCCAAAGCCTTGGAGCACACAGAGGAAGGTGTTCCTCCATCTGATGGCATGGGGAAAGATATCTGGATAAACTCAAAGCTAAACAACAAGAAAGAACATTTCTAGCTTTGGCAGAGTGCTTATAAAAACCTTTTAACATAGCCCGATGAGAACAGGGAGGGCAGCCTGGCTACCATGTGTGGGATCAAGGTCAAACATTTTTCCAGACCCATTTTCTTTTGGAAAGTGGGTAATGAACCCTCCAAGGTATTTTTTTAAACAAGACAGCAGCAATGATGAGTGTTAAGGGAAAGAAAAAGAAAATCAATTCCTGGAGAGAGCCCAAGAAAAGCAACAGCGAGAACACATGTCCCATTTCTAAGGAGAAGCTGGACACAAATAAAGGAAGAGCTTGCAGGAAGAATGTGGGCTGGGAGGGGCTGGGTCTTACCACACATATTTAAGGTGGCTGTTAGGGGCCCGGCAAGACTTCTCCTCCGTAGGCAGGTACAGCTGTTTAGGAAGCTGCCACAGTCCGGCTCCATGAAGGATCCCTGCAGAAGAGACAGACGGGAAGACAGTGCCATCAGAGTGGACCACAAGCTGATCAATCAGACATTGATGGAGAAAGACTCCGTTAGTGTTAAACTGCATTGCTAACAATGCACATTTCATTTTCATAAAAAAGAGGTGGAAGCGTTTTTAAATATTTTACTTTAGTTAAAAAAGAATACCACAATGTCAACAATTATTAAGTATGAGCATAGAAATATATTTCAAGAATTCAATATGTAGAATGGACTATTTTAGAATAGCATTTATTATTTTCTTAGAATATTCAGATTGATGCATTCATGTGCACTGGCCACCACGTTGCAGGTGGGGTGGGGTTATATTGCATTGCTAGGTAGATTCAAACATCATTTTCCAGTTTGCATTATTAATCTGAATCTGGGGTTACCCAAAAATACATTTGATTTAATAGTGCAGTATTTATATCTGAGATGTAGTGAAGTAGCAAAGTAAAAGTAGTCAAACAACTGTGTCAGTTCTTCACCCATGTGTGTGTGTCAGCTCTTCAGCAGAGAAGCGGCAGGCCAGTGAAGTCAGCAAGTACTCACAGCCATGAAGACACACTTAGATCCATTCATGATGTCACTGCCACTCTGCAATTCTGCTCCACTCTGAGTGGGTGTTTGTTTGCAACTCTCAGTGAGTGTGTGTGTGTGTGTGTGTGTGTGTGTGTGTGTGTGTGTGTGTGTGTGTGTGTGTGTGTGTGTGTGTGTGCGCATGTACCAAAGGCTCTTTGAGCAGTTCTCTATAGGGTCCTGCACTAGGGAAGACCAAATAAACACTTCTGACAGCCAAGGGGACAGATGGGAAACTAATGTAATCATTAATCAATCTACTGATGAATTTCAGATTTTCCCAATCACAAACTCCAATTCAAATGTGTGTTTATATTTATTTGTTGAGTTGCTACATGACTAAATCTCTTATTTAACTTCTGTCTGACAGTGATCATGTGCTCCTGTGTAAAAATTAAAAGTTTGAATCTCCAAAGGCAAATTGCTTCATTCTTTTAAAATGTTATTGAAATTACTTTTGGTTATATGCTTGATGTTCCCCCAGAAAATGATGGAGCTTGTTACCTGACGTAAGAAAATAAAAATGCTTGGTCTAACAACTTCCATTATATCAGTGGTTCTCAACCTGTGGTACGCTACCACTGGTGGTACGCCAGCTCCCGCTAGTGGTACGCGGAGGAATCTGACATATATACAAAATAAAAAAAATGTAAATACATTTTTTATTTTTTTACATTTTATTTAACTTTTATTTAACCAGATGAAAACATTGTGACACAATCTCATATACAATGCTGACCTGGCCAAAAGGCAGCAACGTTACACGTTCTTACACATAACACAGAAATAAATAATACAGAAAACACAACTAAGTAAACAAAAAGAGGAAAAGCAGTCACTACATTGTGCACATTTGGGACAGTAAGGTACACTATTATTACTGCAAGAGCAGCTGATGGTAAGGACCTCAGACAACTTCAATTTAAAACAGGCTATAGGGACAAGTGCCATCAGTTTTAGGCTTGATTGAATAACATTAATAAAAAAATAAATCATACTATCAAAATACTACAACGATTGAAAATAAGCTGAAACTGTGGTTTAAATAAGTTCTAATAGGCTATTGTTGTTTGTAGATTTAGAAACACGTTTTTTTTTAATGTATTTCTGGCGTTGCTAATAGAGTGCCACAGTGAAAAAAACAAAAAAACAACTAAAACCCGGAATTTTCGAATCATAAATCTATCGATTAGATTTATGATTAGAAAATTATAAAAGTAGGGTAGGTTATCCGACTGAACAAAACGTGATCCGTCTCTTAAATGTTTGACAACCACAGACCTTATTTTGAGCTATTTTCCGAAATCCTATGGAGAAATTGCATTGCTTTTTTGTCGAGGGAACCGGAAGAAGCTTACTTCCGGGTTTTTAGGACGCGTCACTGTGGCACTCAATAGCCGCGTTCACACCGGAGTACTTTTCCCACTTTAGTTCCGATATAGTTCCGAAATGTCGCGGTCACACCAAAAAGAGCCGGAACTCAAATTAGTTCATGAGAACCTTTTTACCCCCTTTTCCGTCCCTGCTAGAAAGCAGGGACTCTCATGCGGCTCTCTTGTGAGAAAAGAGCTATATTTCTGATTGGCTGGGCGGATTGCAAACCACGCCCCGTAAAACTAAAAAAAAGTGTTGTGAAGCCACCATTTTATTAGCATTATTAGCATTAGCATTTGCCCAGCGCAGAAACGCAGAGAGACTAACTTATGGCAACACAAAATAAAACATGGGAGCGGTGGAGATGAGGAGGTGTCGGCGTTAGTTCTCATGAACCTTTGTGGGAAAAGTAATGCGGTGTGAATGCGCCTTATAACGACCATACTACCCGCGAACGATTAGCCAACGTTGCAAGCAAGCTAAAGAAA